CGCAATCGATACGGGTAGTCCCCTAGCAGAGAGAAGGGTAGCTAGTAGTTTATCGCGAACCCGTCCGTCGCATCACCCCGTCAACCCGTAGGCCCCATTAAAATCCATAAATATATTAACCGAGAACCGTCACAACCCATCAACCCTAGTAACACACCAAACAATCAGCGCAGTAAAAATCATCAACATGTCGACAATGGAACCGTTTACATACGTACCCGAATTTAAGTTAATCGTTTATAAGGATTGCAGGGCGGCGGTTTTAGGTAGTAAGGTAGATAGGCATCTGCGTAGTAAGTATAGGGCGGATGCAGCGACTAGGGCGAGAGTAAAGGGGACGGTCGACGAGATTAAAGGTTTAATCTATAACCAGCAGTAGTTAACCACGCAGTTATATATGCCGGTAAGGCCCATCGAGGCCGTCAAGCATTTACCGGTATTTAACAATAGGTTCGCATGCCAATAGGAATTAGATAGAGAGGGAGGACGTCGAGAGTATAGGTATATTACCCAGTCGCATATTAAGATGAAGGAGCATTACAGGGCAATACACGGATAGGTAAACACCCAGGGAAGAGGCGGGTCAGCAGCATAGAGGCGCAGGGCCGAATAAAAAGAAAGGCCGTAGCGGGTTAGAGTATTATGCCAAAGATTATTCGCGTAAAGATCTAGGCAGGTTTATTTCGAGGTATTACCAGCAGGCCAGCAAGAGGAGGGACGCCCTATTACGGTAAGCCAGCAAGTCCGCGAGCAGATCGAGTTACGCATAAAGGCGAACGAAGAACAGCGAAAAAGAATCATTTAGCCACCACAAAAATTAGACGCGAACCCGTGGTTAAGGCGGGTTGGTTAGGCAGAGCATTTAGCCGGGTTCGACATGAAGGAGTTAAGGCATTTAGTCGAGTTACCAGCCGACCAGGAGCAGCGTTAGCAAGAGGAGGATCGGTAGAAAAGAAGGCAGGACGGGCCACCCAACAGGGCAGAGCAACACCGCCAGCAGCGCCAGCAGGGTCGGGTCGAGATTTTAGCAATTATGTGTGCCAGTTTGGACGAAGTTATCGACCGGGCCCAGGACACGATTTTAACATCGGTTAGCAACCAGGTTTTATTCGAGATCAACCGCAAAGATATCAACGCGAAGCCGAACTATCCGTTTCCAGGACGTATAGAAGAGGACACGAAGAAGCGGTATAAGCAGGCATGGCAGCGCATAATCGGGTACATTTTCCGCATATACACTAAGGTAAAAGAGGATAGACCGCTATACGAGTTAACCCGAGAGCAAGCTAGGGCGTGGCAAGATTTCGCAGACGAGGCCCGGTTATAGTGGTTGCAAGAGAAGGAGAGAGAGAGGAGCGAGGTAGCCAGTAGTACGGTCGAAGAGGATATTGGATACGACGAAGATGAGGAGGAAGAATAAGAAGAAGAAGAGGCGGAGAACGACGAAGAGGCAGTGGAAAATAAAAGAGAACTAATAAGCCGGATTAACCGTAATTGTTTAGCGTTTTGTATCAGTTTGTTAGACCATAAAACAGAGGACAATAACTATACAAACGCGTTGATTAACGGGTTGGCCGTGTTGGGAGTCGAGGAGGAAGGGAGAGGGTAGCAGAGCCCTATAGATTATACGCCCCGGTTATCCGCAGTAATCAAGGTTGCAAGGATGATGGTCGTGCAGAGCGTATGGGAGGAGGCCAGAGAGACCGAGGACGGTAGGATTTGGTAGCGGGTAAGAGAGATGGTCTAGCGGTTTATAGTACGGGATATGCCGACGCCCATGGGTTGGATGTTCGAGGCGCGTACGTACGGCATGAAGATTTAATACACGACGATAGCCCCCGGGTCAGTAAGATGGAAGGGGGATACGTTAGTATACCGCAGCACCGAGTTTAGCATGGACTAGATAAAGAGTTGGGTACATGGAATGGTAGGCCGGTGTCGGTAGACGTTGGTGGAAGAGATAATAGGGGTTACGCCCGCACAGGAGAGAAGGGGAGAGTTACCCGCTATCCTATAGGCCGAGTTGCGAGACGACCCTAGTATCGACGAGCCGGGTTGGTTTTTTATACGCAATCCATTAAATAGATTCGTGGTGGACGGCGATTGGTGGTTATTTCACTAGTTAATAGAGAGAGGGGGCGAGGAGGATAAGGATAATAGTAGGAGCCGACCGCGGCAATAGGAATTCATCGATATAAGAAGAAATCCCCCCGCTATACGAGACGTTTAGCCGGCCGTAGGAGACGTCCAGCCGGCCGTAGGAGACGTCTAGCCGGCCGCAGGAGACATCCCCCCAGCTACTATCAAAGTCGACAGGAAGGCCGTTAAAGCATTTAGGCGAACCGTAAGCGGATTCAAGGAGCAGTTAGCCGTATTAATATATACTATAGGGGGCGGGCCCCCGCGTGTGCTAGACTTAATCAGCACCCGGTATTGCAACACAGTTAACGGTGGCCAGCGAAACATATTTATTGAAGACGGTTTAATAGTTTACGTAACCCGGTACCATAAGGGCCACGGCAGGAATAGCAGTTTAAAGATTATCCACCGGTATTTACCGCGCGAGGTGGGCGAGTTATTGTTTTATTATATATGGTTGGTAATTCCGTTCGAACGGCAGTTAGCCGTCGCGTATAAAGAGAAGGATAGGCCGCCAGAGGAACACGGTTATATTTAGATTAAGGAGGGCCTAGGTGCGGTAAAGTAGACGGAGAACCGGTTCCGCAAGTCGTTAGTCAACGAGAGCAAGATCGGAATGGGGGTGCCGTTGAGTATGGCTACGTACCGACAGTG